TACGCTTTTTCCTTCTCTCGTTTTTTTTTCGTTTCGTGATACTAAAAGCGCGATAAGCAGCAGAGACACGAAGGTAGCAGAAGGGGGGAGGGGGTGCACAGGTGCCTCTCTCATCGACTCGCCTCGACGCGACGCGACCGCTGCATGTGGAAAAGCCAAAGGAAAAGCTGCAAAGTCAGAGCGGGGACAAACAAAAAAAAGAGCCAGTGGGAACAACTTGGCCACATATGGCCATTTTCTGGCCCAGGCCATTGCGTGCTCTGTGTCCTGTACGTATCTATATCTCTCTCTATGTCTGTGTGCTATCTAATCAAGCGCTGAAAGACAATAAAAGCCAACAAAAAACGCAACCACGACAAACAGCGACCACAAAATGTGCTTATGTCTGGAAAAAAAGAACAAAACAAAACAGCAGCAGGACACAAGAACTGGCAGGCAACAACGTAAAGGGTTAGACTACAGCAACACCCTATAATCGCTGTGATTGGTGCAGGGAATTTTTTGAAACAATTTGTACGCTGATCGAATATGCCCCACGGGCACAAATCTACTACTTCAGCGACTAAGTGCAGACCCCAAAAATGTCGTATCTATGCCCCGCCATATGGTGGCTAAGCAGCAGCAAGCACCGATATCGCTGAGAGTGTTTCCATGTATCTATAGTGCGAGTATCTCTATCTTATCTGGCAGTTTGAGGGCTTAGCCAAAAGAGGCTACTCATTGCATCATCCTCCCATCGGCAGTGGCCCAGCGGCATTCATAGCCATAACGGAGGCTGGCATAGAATCATAATAATTCGAGTTTACTGCATTGCAATCCCAATGAATGCAAGAGGGGAGGGTGGACAGTTAGTGCCTTGCCTTTTGGCAAGTGGCTGGCAAAAGTTTTCGCATAAAATGCCAACCGCCTGAGACAAGAGACACAACCCCGAGAAGGACATTTTCTTTTAGCACAATTCTCTCTCGCTTCACTTGCTCACAAAGTTGCTCTTGGGCTGCCAATTCTCATGGAAACAAAACGACACGAAAACGGCTGCCAGCAAAAACTTTTGTGGCAACATACAACAACATATTAATGTGTGGCAGGCAGGATTATCAGAGCACACTCCACACTCCCGCTGCTTTGCTGCAACTGTAACTGCAATGTGGGGCCATGTGGCAATGCAAATGAATGCCAAAACAAGCTGAAAGGTGTTTTCTAAACTTTATCGACTTCCACTTCCGACACCGCCATCACCCGTTATGTAAATATTTCGTTTTGCTCCTAGGAAAATGGGATATATGATCAGGTAAAAATCGTATCAAGAATCCAGGCAGAATGTTGGATGGATGAATGTCAACCACCACTGCCGTCATCGCCTAGAATGCAACGCCCCTTGGTTCCGTCTGCCTGGGTGCCCCCTCGCTTCCTCGCTGCATTCGCTTCCTTGTGCTTCCCCCTTCTCCATCATTCGTTTTGCGTCTCTGGCGATCGCCAGCTTGTGCGCACGCGCATTGAGGCATAGACGAGAGTCCAGGTGTGCTTGCTCGTGGCACGTTCCCTACCCCCTTGGGCAGCTCTAGCACTCTGTCTCTCGGTTATCAGCTGTTGGCTCTGCCGATCATCAATATAGGGGCCCACAGCGAGAGAGAGAGAGCTGGGTGCAGGGGGTTGCCGGATTGAGTTTCAGTTCCGTATTCGGGATTCTGCATTCGCATTCCTCTCTTCGTGATTTTCTTCCATTGAATCTCTCTCTCTCTCTCTCTCTCTCTCTTATCTACCAAAATGAATCTTCAGTGCGGATTCATAATGCCTAATTGCTTCAGAGGCAGAGTCAGGCAGTGGGGAGGGCATATTTGGTTAGAAATAATTTTTATATTTTTAACGGATTTCCGAGTCGCTTGACCGTAACGCAATGTACCCTCTCCTGCCTCTCCTCCTCCTACAACTGCTGCCACTGCAACCCACTTTAGTGTCCAGGTCCAAGTGTCGCCAGAGTCGTGTTGACTGTTGCTGAGGCCAAAGCATATTTTAATGATGACACCCGTCTGCGACAGAGATACACTGCGATAGGCGCAGGGGGCATACAATGATGGAGGGGAAAGCGGGAGAGAGAATGCGAACACATGGCTGGCACTCCGTGCCACACTTCGTTCAACGACGACCAACGATGAGTACATTACCGTGTGCCGCGATCTGTGAAGGCACATTCCAAAGCACACTTTGCGATACACACAGCCCGTGCCCCGGTGCCTCATGCCTCATGCCTCATCCCCTCATCCCCTTTGGCATGCAAAGTACGAAGCGAAGCCAGCAGGAAAATGTGTTAAGGTCGTAATTATCTGCGCTGCTGCTGCTGCTGCCGCTGCCGCTTGTAGGTGGAACTTCGCCTCAGCTGCAACTTTCTTTTGCTCCTTTTATGGTGTCTTTACTGTGCTCGAACCCATGCCATATGCTGCCTCTCGCAAGGGGTTGCTGCGCCTATTGATAAGGCGATCCTAGAGCAAAGACCATAGACCAGCGGACCTTAGAGGCGCCCCTTAAGTGCATTGAACTTGTGAGCCTCTCTATTGATGTATCTAAGGATATACTTGGCTGGGTAACTGTAACTGCAGCTCTAAGGAAAGCATTCATGACGGTATGAATACAGTATGGTCTGTATTCTAGTCTTAGGAAAGTATTCATGAGGAAAGCCAACTGTCTGCATATATCCATAGCGATATCTTGAAGTGGCGGTGGCATATGTTGTGCTTCCCTTTGCCACCATATACAGATAAACTTGATATCCTCCAATCACTCTCCAACTAACTTTAATTTCTCTTACTCTCTTTGCAGGAGGATCTATGAAGGACGACAGAGAAAAATAACGCTTTGTTTGTGGTAATTTTTGACAATTCAGCGAACCAGATCCGAAATGCATTGGAATTCTACCTCCTTTGCTGCATCTACAACCTCCCAACTAAATAAGTCCTAACTGAAGTCCTCCCTAAATAGGGGTGGCTGTTCCTTCCCTCTGCCTCAGCCCTCGGTTCTTTGCAGGCTGCAGGAGACCGAGAAAGTACAGTTGCCCAAAGGCAAGGCCCTCTTGGGCATAAGGGTGGCGTGGAGAGTGGAGAGGCCCTTCTGTTGACATTGACTTGAGCCTACGGGACAGGGGTCTACATTCCCATGCAATTGAAGTCCCGAAAAGTCGATTAAGGGGAGGATTCTGTGCAGTTTAGTTCTTGGAAAAAGGCCAATGGGAATCGCTTGTATGTACTTATTCGTGGTATAAAGATACTGCTGCTGTTACTCCTCTGAGTCTGATCGATAGTTAGTTAGTCCATTCTATGCAGGAGCAGATTGACGCATTTTGATTGGGTTTTTGTGGGGTTCGGTTCCAAAGTTCTCTTCTATTGATTATTTCGAGTGCTTACGCATTAGAAAAATTCGAACCATTCGAACCATTCGACCCATGGCCATATGCAAAAGTATCTATCTATCTTTTTGTCTGTCTGTGAGTATCTGTATCTGTAACTGTCCTCCCCTCCCTTCGCCCTCTGTCTGCGTGTGCACGGGAAAGTAAGTCAAACTTATTTATCAGCGAAAACGAAATGACTTATCTTTATTTTGTTGCTGTTTGCCGTTTGGGCATAGAAAGGGGGCGGGTATGTAACTGGTGACAGACCCCACACCCCCACACCCTCATACACACACACAAAAACAGCGAAAGCGTAAGAGAGAGCGAGAGGGAGAGAAAATAAGCTCAAGTGGAGAAATTAGATAAAAACCTGTCTGGGGTTAGAGAGGGTTGGCTTCTGCTGAATTAAGGACACCCCCAACCCAGACTTACCCTGCCACAGCTTCACAGATTCGGACAGCCAGCCCCTTCCCCACCATCACCTTCAGCCATTGGCACCCCCAAACCGAGCACCAATCAAGTGGTGCACCCAAACCAAAAGCTTTTGGCCTGCCACTTTTACTTTCCATTTGAGAAGCACTCGCCCCGCTCCCCACAGAACACCCCCTTACGCCCTTTTATCACTGAATATGTATAACTGACTGAATTCTCCTGCTTGAATTTTAATTTTACAGAAAGATTTTTGAGCGCAAGCGAGGAATTATAAAAAAAACGAAAACGAAAACCAAACAAAAAACAAAAAATAAAACCACGAAAAACGACACAAAAAAACAAAAAACGACAAAAAGTCTCAAAATTTCGACCCAAGGCAGCATCGAAAAACACTTTTTGAGAAATCTTTTGAGAAATCAAAGCGAAAGCCGACAAGCAACTGGAAAGGGAAATAGGAGTTGAAGAGAAGACCAGGACTAGGGAAGGAAGAAAAGAAAAAGGAAATTAAAATCAAATCCAAATAAAAATTAAATGCAAAGGACATTCGCATGTGTGTGGTGGTGGAACGAAGAAAATTCAAAACAAAATTCACAATTAGAAAACGCAGAAAAAAACGTAGAAAACGCAGACGCAAAATCAAACTGTCCAAACTGTCGAAGCTGTCGAAACGTTTCGAAACAGGCGGCGGTGGCACTTTGAGCTGTAGCTGTAGCTGGAGCTGGAGCATTTCGGCCAACAAGTTGAGCGAAAGCAAAATTTCAACGTTTTGGCGCACAAGGAGAAGGAGTAGCAGCAGGAAAGGGAGGGAAAGTAATCCGAAGGGAGAGAAAAGACACCTCGGGCCAGGACTGCCGCGAGCAGGGTAAAAGTTTTGAACCTGAACGCTAAGCACGACGCACACAAAGCGGAGAAAAAGATAAACATAAGCAAACACAAACTCAGATACAGAATACCAGCATAGTAAAACCAAACTCGGACTAGACACAGATACAACCAACAAAAAAAAAGGAGGCGAAAGATAGATCTATCTGTCCACAGACTTCACTTAAACTTGAAATCACGCATACGGCACTGAGGCTCACTCGAAGGGGAACGAAGAGCGAAGCCAGCAAATCGCAGCAGAGGGTTGCTGAGGGGCAGACACACGAACAGAGAGAAAGAGAGTGCTGCAACCGAGAGAGATAGAAAGAAAGAGAGAGCCAAAGCAAAGCAGAGAGAGCCTGCTGCTGTTTGGCATCTTATGATGTCATCAGAGGAGTACGACGCGGACTGTTTCGGTTTGTATAGCGATGAGAGCACAACCGTGCTGCTGAAGGCGGCCGTCGTGGAGCAGCCGCAACCAACACACACAAGCAGCAACGGACATACGACACCAACACAGGCACAGGCACAGACACAGTCGCACACACAGACACAGTCGCAGATAAACGGCGGCGACAGCAGCGCCACGGCGAATTCCGGCGAGAGCAAAAGCGCGGCCGAAAAGGAACAGAAAGAGAAGGAACACACGAACGACTGCGACTCGGACGACTCGGACGACGTCGTGGTCGTGCTCGAAGGCTGCGAAGGCAGCAGCGACGGTAAAGCCACCGCCACCGCCACCGTCACCGGCGTCGCCAGCTTCGTCGCGAAGGCGGCGAACAGCAGCAACAGCAGCAGCAGCAGCAGCACCGCCACAACTCGTAGCAGTCGCAACCATCGCAGCCCGCGCAGCAGTCGGCAAATCATTCACTCTTCGGCCGTCGGCAAGACAACAACGTGCGCGGCTAAAAAATTGCAAGTGCAAGCAACAGCAACAGCAGCGACAGCCACTTCGAAGACTTTAAACGCGAGCGTCGTACCCGCATCCGTATCCGTACTCGGTAGTAATAGTGCAAGTGGAAGTAAAGTGAATCGTCGTTCGAGTCACAGATCCTTGAGCAAAGACAACCAACAACAGACAACAAGCTGCAACAGCAACAATCATAATAGCAACAACGGCGGCACAACGGCAAGCGCTGCTGGCTTCATGAGTAGCGCTGCTGCGGCCGCTGCGGGTGCCGCTGGTGGAGCCCTGTTCCAACCCCAACCGCAGGCCAGCACGGCCAACACGAGCCCAGCGCAGCTCAGTCTCAATCCCTCGAGCCACCACCAGTCCGCTGCAATCGGCGGTGGTCAACAGTCACCCGTAGCCAGCAGTAATTCTCCGGGCTCCGGATCTGGATCCGGCTCGGGCTCCGCCTCGTCACTGCTGACGGCTGCCTTTGGCAACCTGTTTGGCGGCTCCTCGGCCAAGATGCTGAACGAGCTGTTTGGCCGACAAATGAAGCAGGCCCAGGACGCGACCAGCGGCCTGCCCCAGAGCCTGGACAACGCCATGCTGGCCGCCGCCATGGAGACGGCCACCAGTGCTGAGTTACTGAGTGCCGCAGGCCTCGTTGGCAGCCTCAATGCCACCTCGAATGCCACATCCAAGCTGCTGCTGCAACACAACAACAACAGCATCCCAGGGAACAGCAGCAGCACGCCGCTGAGCAATGGTCTAAATGCCTCGATCTCCCCGGGATCCGCGCACAGTTCGAGCCACTCGCATCACGCCACATCCTCGCCCAAGGGCGGCAGCAGTCGTCGGGTGTCGGCCTGCAGTGATCGCTCCCTGGATGGAGCGGCCTCCGCTGCCGTCTGTGCCGCCGATGTGGCAGGAGGATCTCCGCCACGGGCTGCGTCGGTGAGCTCGCTCAATGGTGGCGCCAGCAGCGGTGATCAGCAGCTGCAGCACGACCTGGTGGCACATCACATGCTACGCAACATATTGCAGGGCAAGAAGGAGCTGATGCAGCTCGACCAGGAGCTGCGCACCGCCATGCAGCAGCAGCAGATGCAGCAGCAGGAGAAGGAGCAACAGCAACAGCAGCAACAGCAACAGCAGCTCCACCACACGAAGCTCAACAACAACAATAACAACAACAGTGTGGCAGCCACGAACAACAACAACAACATGGAGAGCATCAACCTGATCGAGGACACGGAAATGGCGGACATCAAGATCAAGAGCGAGCCACAGACGGTGTCACAACCGCAACAATCGCCGCACGGCAGCAGCCACAGCAGTCGCAGCGGCAGCGGCAGCCACAGCAGCAGCCACAGCCTGACCAGCGATGGGAGTCTGCGACGCAAGTCCTCCGACTCGATGGACAGCTCGGGCGCACGCGAAGAAGCGGAGGCCGATGGTGAGGACGAGACGGCAGTCAGAGAGAGCAGCGGAGTGGAGGAGCAGCAGCAGCAGCAGCTGCAGCTGACCACCAAGAAGGAGTCCATCGAGGACATGCTGGACGAGGCGGAGCTGCTGGGCATGCACTCGGCACGCGGCTCGGATCTGGAGTCGCTCGCCTCGCCCTCGCACTCGGATATGATGCTGCTGGACAACAGCAAGGACGATGTGCTGGATGACGACGAGGACGATGACTGTGTGGAGCAGAAGCGCGATCAGGGCTGCCTCAAGAAGCCCGGCATGGAGCTGAAGCGTGCCCGCGTCGAGAATATTGTCTCTGGTATGCGTTGCAGTCCCTCCTCCATTGTGCAGGCGGGACAGCTGCAGGTGAATGGTTGCAAGAAGCGGAAGCTTTACCAGCCGCAGCAGCATGCCATGGAGCGGTATGTGGCAGCCGCCGCTGGTCTCAACTTTGGCCTGAATCTGCAGAGCATGATGCTCGACCAGGACGACAGCGAGCAGTCGAACGAGCTGGAGTCGCCGCAGATCCAACAGAAGCGCGTTGAGAAGAATGCGCTCAAGTCGCAGCTGCGATCGATGCAGGAGCAGCTGGCTGAGATGCAGCAAAAGTACGTGCAGCTGTGCACCCGCATGGAGCAGGAGTCCGAGTGCCAGGAGCTGGACAATGACCAGGACGCCGAGCAGGACCTAGACCCAGAGCAGGAGCAAGAACAAGAGCAAGAGCAAGAGCAAGAACAGGACGTGCCCGAGCAGGACAATGGCAGCAGTGACAACATTGAGCTCTCGCCCTCCCCCACGCTCACAGGCGGCGACATCAGTCCCGCCCACAAGGAGGAGGCTGGCGGACAGGAGCGCGCCGGCTCCAGCTCACCAAAGCCCAAGACGGCGCTGAGCGAGAGCGGCGCTCCAACCAGCACCAATATGCTCTCCCAAATGATGTCCAAGATGATGTCCAGCAAGCTGCACAATCCCATGGTGGGGCATCCAGCCCTGCCACAGGGTTTCCCTCCGCTGCTGCAGCACATGGGCGACATGTCGCACGCGGCAGCCATGTATCAGCAGTTCTTCTTCGAGCAGGAGGCACGCATGGCCAAGGAGGCTGCCGAGCAGCAGCAGCAGCAGCAACAGCAGCAGCAGCAACAACAACAGCAGCAGCAGGCGCAGGAGCAGCAGCGTCGCTTCGAGCAGGAGCAGCAGGAGCAGCGCCGCAAGGAGGTGCAAGAGCAACAGCAGCAAATCCAGCGACAGCAGCAACATTTGCAGCAGTTGCAACAGCAGCAAATGGAGCAGCAGCAGCAACATGTTGCCACAGCGCCGCGACCCCCACAAATGCACCACCCGGCGCCGGCGAGACTGCCCACGCGACTGGGCGGAGCTGCGGCACACAACGCTCTGAAGTCGGAGTTGTCGGAGAAGTTCCAGATGCTGCGCAACAGCAACAACAGCTCAATGATGCGCATGTCCGGCACGGACCTCGAGGGCCTGGCGGATGTCCTCAAGTCGGAGATAACCACCTCGCTGTCGGCACTGGTGGACACGATCGTGACGCGGTTCGTCCATCAGCGAAGGCTGTTCAGCAAGCAGGCGGACTCTGTGACTGCGGCAGCTGAGCAGCTCAACAAGGATCTGCTGCTGGCATCGCAGATACTCGACCGCAAATCGCCGCGCACCAAAGTGGCGGACCGAGGAGGACCCGGAGCACAGAACGGCCCCACGCCGACCACACAATCAGGTAATAATGGTTCACTACTCCTAGCCCCTAGTCAAATGCCCCCCCAACCGACGCCAGCGGTGGTCGTGGCCAATGCACAGCAGCAACAGCAGCAGCAGCAGCAACAGCAGCAACAACAGAACGTGCAGCAGCAGCAGCAGCAGAGTGTGGTGCCGCCGCAACAGAATCCCCAGCAGCAGCAGCAACCGCCGAATGTGCAACATCTCCATGCCATGCCACCCAATTGCCAGCAGCTGATAGCCGCACCCCGCCTCAATGGCAACCAGCTGTCGTTTGCCTCCCCAGCCGCTGCTGCAGCCGCCGCAATGGGTCTGCAGATGCATCACGCTGCCGCAGCGGCAGCAATGTCCGCCCAACAGCAGCAGCAGCAGCAGCAGCAGCAACAGCAACAACAGAATGTGCAACAGCAACAGCAGGCGGTGGGGGATGGCAACAGTACTAACAACCAGAGCCAGGCGAATCCGACTAACAACAGTAGCATAAGTACCCTTAATATACCACCTCCTCACATTCGTCCTTCGCCCACAGCGGCTGCCATGTTCCAGGCGCCAAAGACGCCGCAGGGCATGAATCCGGTGGCCGCCGCCGCGCTCTACAACTCGATGACCGGACCCTTCTGCCTGCCACCCGATCAGCAGCAGCAGCAGCAGGCCGCACAGCAACAGCAGCAGCAGCAACAACAGCAACAAAGCTTGCAACAGCAGCAGCAGAGCGCACAGCAGACGCAGCAGCAGCTGGAGCAGAACGAGGCACTCAGTTTGGTGGTGACGCCAAAGAAGAAGCGCCACAAGGTCACCGATACGCGCATCACACCTCGCACCGTCAGCCGCATCCTGGCCCAGGATGGAGTCGTACCGCCCAATGGACCGCAAAACTCCACTCCCCTGCAGCAGCAACAACAGCAGCAGCAGCAGCAGCAGCCACCGTCGAATGGAGGAGGCAACAGCAACGCCACGCCCGCCCAGAGCCCAACAGGCAGGAGTCAGAGCGGAGGAGTGGTAGGAGGAGGAGCGTATCATCAGCAGCCACCGCCACCACCGCCGCCCATGATGCCAGTGTCCTTGCCAACATCGGTGGCCATTCCCAATCCCTCGCTGCACGAGTCCAAGGTCTTCTCGCCCTACAGTCCCTTCTTCAATCCACATGCGGGCGGGCAGCCGACAGCCGCCCAGATGCACCAGCACCAGCACCACCACCAGCACCAGATGAAGCTCTCCTCCAGTCCGCCCGGCAGCCTCGGAGCGCTGATGGACTCGCGCGACTCCCCGCCGCTGCCCCATCCGCCATCGATGCTGCATCCCGCCCTCCTAGCTGCCGCCCACCATGGCGGCTCGCCCGACTACAAGACCTGCCTGCGGGCCGTCATGGACGCCCAGGATCGCCAGTCCGAGTGCAACTCGGCGGACATGTCGTTCGACGGCATGCAGCCTACTATATCCTTTTTCAAACAGCAACAAGAGCAGTACGAGCAGCAGTCCATGCTGATGGTCAAGTGAGTTTTCCACTTAGTTCTATAGTGTGTGGCATAGAGAAAGAAAGAAAGAGAGAAAAGACAGAGCCAGAGAGAGAGAGAGAGAGAGAGAGAAGGTACTTAGCCCGTTCGACGGACAAAATGAAACCAATCAAGTGTCTTCTTCAGTCTTATTTATTTCCCCAACTAAATTCTTTTATAAAATGTAATCAAAACCTTATTTATTGGCAAACTGCTGCAACCCTTTCTCACTCTGGGGAAGGAGACCCTCAAGTCATCCACATCAACATCATCATAGTGGCAAAGGCAAAGGCAAAGGCAGTACCCCCCAGTAGCAGTCGTCGTAGTCGTGGTAGACCTCTTGGCCAGGTCCGGGTTGCATTTTGCAACAGTAGAGAAATCAGAAAAACGAAACGGAAAAATCAATGATGAACCAGCCCAAGCCCAAGCACAAGCACAAGCCAATCGACTGCACTCGTTACCCTCTTTTAGCCCGACTCTTGGCCCTACACTTGGATGTGTATTTCAATCAGTTAGATGCCGTAGCAGGGGGCTTTGCATTGCCTGCCTCTGGCACCCTTAGACGTTCATTATTGGCACTCGAAAGTGCAGCTCTCCCCCCGCCTCCGACCAAGTTAGACATTTGCCAATCGAAGCAGCAGGCCTCTGCCTCTTGCCTCTTCTATGCCGTTCTATGCCACTCACGAACATGGAAATTTGGAAAGACAATCGACCATCATAACACACCCTCTCTACCACACAAAATCTAGCAAGCATTGCGAATCCTTGACTCCTTTGCACTCTTCTACATTGACACCGATGCACCTGCGCAAGGCCAAACTGATGTTCTTCTGGGTCCGCTATCCAAGCTCCGCGGTCCTCAAGATGTACTTCCCGGACATCAAGTTCAACAAGAACAATACAGCACAATTGGTGAAATGGTTCTCGAATTTCCGGTAAGTAATCTTCGCCCCTTAGACCCATGACACCACAATGCCTTTAACTACTATATAACTTCCCCCAACTATCTATGAACAGCATTCATTTTTATGATTTCATTTGTCGCTTGATATCCTTTTTGAGTTGCACTATGATTTCGAGTTTGAGTTAGACTATCGAGTGTCGAATCACCTGTCGAAGCATCAGCCCCACGCCCAGTCCTAGCTGTCATTCCACGTGCCCCCACCAAACACTGTGCACCTCCGACTGTCAATTCTGTCTATGAAATTGCGCAAGAAGTTGCCAAAAAGAGCACAAGAAGCAAGCAGCACAAGGGAAAACGACAGCTGCTCCTCATTCAGTTCTAGAGTTTCTCGTTCCTCAAGTGAGGTAGGCCCAGCCCGCATGCAGCAAATGCCCGTGATTTGCGCGCCAAATCCATGCCACATCTGTCGCTGTGATAGAGAGGGAGAGCGAGAACGTGGCACAAAGGTTCACCTGGATTCTTTTGGTTTTTCACCCCTCTATCAAGTCGGCAGCTTAGCAGCTGTCCGTCCGCAGTTCCTGCTACGTCTCCGTTATGTCTAAGACATGCCCAACGTCTTAAGGAATTGTGTGTGTGTCGCGTCCTCCCTTACAGCCTTAGCCCTGTGTCCTTTCCCTTTCTGTCTTCGGGTGTTTTCCCTACCTGCGCACTGCGCAGCAGTACAATGCCCGAACCGAAGACAACAACAAATCATAGCATGGCACGCTCGCTACGGCTCCGGCTCCGGCTCCGGCTCGGGCTTCGTTCTTTTCTGTCGGAATTTCTTGCACCTTTTGTTGCTTTTGTTCTGTGCTGAGCAGAGGATAAGGAATGGGATTTCTTCCTTGGGGTAGCAATCAACCCCTTTGCTTGCTTAAGCGGCTACCCCGATTGAATCTTGACTAGATTTTGCATGGGAAATCTTATCTTGTTGTCTTCGACTTTTCGGTTGTCTGAAGGTTAAAATGGGTGGGAATATTTTTTGATTTTCTAGCGGCTTTCTGATTGTTTACTTCCTCGTTTTACGTTTTACGACCCCCCATCCTCGTTTGCTTTTAGGGTTGATACATGTAACGGCTTTTCGTTCCCTATTCCTTTGTAAAACTTTTGTTTCCCTCTTGCATTTCCATTTTTGAGCTTTAGTTTCGTTAAAATGAGATTTAGTTTTCGAAATGCCTCTAACTATATTTATCACCCCTGCCCACAAGGAACTGTTGAATAACTTGCAACAGTTTTGCAGCAATCTCTCTTAGCCATAGTCTCAAACATTTATTAGTTGCCCCACACACACACACACAGCCACACACAGCCACACACAGCCACACACAGCTACAAGACACACAGCAGCACAAGATACAGCAGACACTGGGCATGGAGTGGCCTCTAATAACATGTTGCTTGAAGAGCTGCCCGCCTGCCACTTAAGCAAGATGCCTGCCCCACACACACACTGTTGCTCCCCTAACAGTCATAGGATGCTGATGAGCTGGCACTTGAGCTTGGAGAGCGGAAAAGTGTGAAACGGCGGCTAAGAAACTTGCGGCATGCATATTAAAAAGTGTTGCCTACTTAAGTGGTGCATCATACTGGTCCCCCCGCCCCACCACACCCCAGCACACACACACACACATGCAGACTGTACTGCTGGCTAATTAACAAAAGTGCCTTTTGTTGGGCTGGTCCTCAAGCAGGCCACTTATATAATTGCATTAGCTGCAGTAACTTCTTTTTGCGTTGTGTTGTGCCTTTTGAAAAATGCAAATAATGAAAAGAAAGCAGCCAAAGGACATGCATGCATTCACACACACACGCACAAAGACACTCACACACTCCTGGCAGGCTAATTAGTTTGTTTGCCTGGATGCGAGACCCCCAGTGTTGGCTTTCTTTTGGCCGCTTTTCAACGCCGGCAACAGCTACTTGAGAGTCGCGTCGAAGAACCAGAAAGAGCCTGAAGAGCGCAGTAGGAGCGCCCTACCAGATACAAAAAAAAGGCGCTCAAGGATGCAGGCAGCCCCACATATACACCTACACACTGTCATAGATGCTGTTCTTTTTACGTGTTTTGTGTTTTGTGTCTCATCGAGGAGCCGCTCTTTTCCTCTCTTCTGTTTTCTGTTTTTATATGAGGTTAAGTGTCCTTTTGGCGCTCTACACCCCCCGACCCCACCACCCCAACCCCTGTAGCCGCGTGAAAAGATCTTGCTGACAAAAACCAACAACAACAACAACAGCAACCACACATGCATACACACAGCGACACACACCTAGACACATGACACTTTTGACACACACACCCAACAAATATTCACATGGTTCCTGTATGTATTTAGACGTATATGACTTAAACCAGATGCCTCTATATATAGATACATATAAAGTGTTGTCAATTACTTCATTAATGTATGAGGTAGAGATGTCTGCATATGTGTGGGTGAGTATGTGTGAGCTTATTAATTTACAAAAAAAAAAAACCAAATATGAAAAAAAATACATTCGTTCTGCTCGCTCTCGTATTTTGTATCTGTAAACGTACTTCCGAGTGGCACTTCTGAAAGAAAGAAGGAGCAAAAGGAGACGCGAAGAAGGAGACACACGCACACACACACCCACACACACACATGCATACACGCAGTGATATTACCCCCCCTTCAAACCTTCTACCTGTCATACAAATGCATTCACCAATGCCACATGGAGAGCAGAGAGCACCCTCGAAACGGGGAAACGCTTGCCTGCCCCTCAACGAGAGGCGTCCCCTGGCGCATCTGCCCCACCAAATAAATGGGCTACGAAAAAATAGAATACGAGTAAAAACTAATTAGTTGCAAGCGGCAAGCACTTCCGTCAAGCCTCGACGCCATTTTCAGTTGCAGTTTGCAGGTTGCAGATTGCAGGTTTTAGAGCTTATTATCTAAATTAAGTGGCGCATTCCATGCTGGCAGGTGGCATGTTGGCATGCTGCAGTTGCAGCTGCAGCTGCAGTAAGCTAAAGCTGAAGCTTCCTTTTCCTGCCTCACGTGTGTAGGTGTGCTGGCTGGCATCATCGCCTCAAGCTCTTTTCGCACCAGCCACAAAGCTAATTGCATTAAAACAAACAAATTTTTCAGCCCCCACAACCCTCGAAACACTTGTGCCACCAACACAAACACCCCCCAACCCCGATACACACAAAGAACTGAGGCGGGGCATGAGATGAGGGCAATCCCTAATAACTATGGACACAAGGATCCACTTCCACTTCCACATTCACATCCACCCGCTCGATGCCCGATCCAGAGACAATGAACTGTCACATGAAACTGTCACACAGCGATTCCTTTCTTTGGCACGGCCAAGCCGTCATCGCCTCATTATGATGCCTCCTCGCTTCAATTGTAGGAGCTGCAGCCTCAGCCTCAGCCACAGCCCCCAACCATCAACCCATAACCATCATCAACCCTTTCCTCATTCACCACTCCAACTCCTCGCCTGCTGTTCAAGTGCGCGTGGCGGCCGCCTCCGGGGAGCTGGCGACAGGCACAGGGACTGTGGACTGGGGACTGGGGGACCCTTGCCAGCAAACGGCAAAGATTTTCTATTTGCACATTTTCTGCGCTTATTGTTTGGAAAAATCAACACGAGCGCACTCGCACAACATGAGAAATGCATTTGCTACTGGGAAATCTTAAAATTAGCGCGATTATCGGAGCGTTGTCAAGTGCGGCAGTGGCAGGGGATCGCAGGATGCCTTTCCAGCACAAAAAAGACAACAATTAGTGTGCGAGGCACACAATGCAGTCGGAGTCGGGCAGCAACGACTGCCGGCAGGCATTAGGCAAAGACAAGCAATCACTTACAGTCTCCAAGCAAAAGGCAGCACCCCCACCACCTACTCCTGCGCCCCGACTATCCCCCTGCGAGTGGTAGGGCCCCGCCGCACACAAATCACTTGACTAAACAAGGCGACACAGAAGCAGCAGCAGTGGTAGCAGTGCCAGTAGCAGTGGCAGTAGCAGAAGCACACTGCACTTGCTAATTAAATCCCCAACCCCCAGTAGAAGCCACCACTTCCCAAGGCACCCCCTAAGCCCACACTGCTCCATGCTCCCTGCTCCAGCACCGACCGCAATAAGAAGATGCCACTGCCACGACTTGCAATTGTTATTGCACCACCACCAGCACCACAGACTCCAGCGCAGCTTTAGCCGCTGCTGCTGCCGCTGCTGCACATTTGAGATTTATTAAAAATTCTTTACATACTCACACACACACTCACTCACAGAAACATGCAACGACAGACAGGAGCGATGAGTCTTTTGGGGAGTGCGCGCCTAAGAGTATGCAGCAAATTATTAATAATGTCATATTCAAACAGCGATTCAATATAATGCAAGGACCGCCCGCCTGCCCCTCTTAGAAAACAGACAACTTGAGTGAGCCAAATAGAAATTAATCCAGACAAAGATAATGATTGTGTGAGAGAGAAAGAGAGAGAGAGAGAGAGAGAGAGTGACAAGATTTCCTTTGAATTTGGTTACCTAATTTAGGACTGTTTTTCCTGAGTTTTTGCGTTTCGCTCTTTTGTTTAATACTTTTGGTTTTGGTTTCATCGTTGATTTGATTTTTGAGTTTTGAGTACGAATTTTTGTAAATTTGAATGCTGTCCATGAATAAACCCCCCACCGAAAACAACCAATCCCACATCATAGAATAGAAAAAAATAACAAAAAAACAACCAACAAGCTGATACAACCAGAATACTGACCAAAACCAAACATATTCCTCATCTACGCATCTGCAGAGAATTCTACTACATACAAATGGAGAAATATGCACGACAAGCTGTCACCGAAGGCATCAAGACACCCGATGATCTGTTGATTGCTGGAGATAGTGAATTGTATCGCGTGCTCAATTTGCACTACAATCGCAATAATCACATTGAGGTATGCCAATAACCACGCCTACACCCACACTAACTCTAACATTAACACAAAAACTCCCCAACGAGCAATCATTGAAGCTGCAGGTAAACACTGTACAGTGAGCATCACCCACCCCCTGTAGAGTGTTTACCTCTAGAATCAATCAATCAATCACACTAAAACCACTAAGCTACAACCAACACTAAAACACTTCTCTGGGAGCAAAACGTTTGCTAATCGTAATTCGTACTTCGGCCATCGACAGGTACCCCAAAACTTCCGCTTCGTCGTTGAACAGACTCTGCGGGAGTTTTTCCGTGCAATACAGGGTGGCAAAGACACCGAGCAGTCGTGGAAGAAGTCCATATACAAGATCATATCTCGCATGGACGACCCCGTGCCCGAGTACTTCAAGTCGCCAAATTTTTTAGAACAGCTGGAATAAGTGGAGGAGTTGGCCTTGCCAGCGCTGCCCACGCTGCCAATGCCCCTGGCAATGCCAATTCAAATGCCACCGCCCACACATACCAAGAATCCAGCTACTATGACTACTACAATATCTACAGCTTCAACAGCCACAACATCGAGGGCCGGCAGCAGCAATACGAAGGCGAGGCGCAGACCAAAGCTAAAAGGCTAAATCTGCGCAAGAAGTACCACTGGATATGACCACCACCAAAAAAATAAAACTAACGAAACGAAAGAAGAAAAGATGAGAAGATGAAAACCAGCACAGAATACGTTATCAAAGAGAGATCGCTAAAAGAGAGCAAAGAGAGAAGATAAGCTGAGAAGTTTACACGAGTCAAAACCGCGTTTAGGCCACGAGCAATTCCGGGGAGCAGTCTCCCGAGCCGCAAAATATTTTTCAAAAAATTTCCATGACAACTACACCAACACTGCATACATACATACACACATATACATACACTCAGCGAAAGAGAAGAAGAAATAAGTAAAGAGAAAAAGGGAGATGAAGAAAATAAGATGCGAGCTTCGATCGCATCCAATGCTAAAACCAAAACTAAAAACTAAAAACTGAAAAAACTAAAACTAAACATAGAGCAGCAAGTCTTAATCTTATGTGAAATAGTGCAAATTGAAACCTGAGCCACAACCACTCCGACATACACACATACCGTGCGCGTACTTTGTAGGCAGTGTAAACTGTTGATCAAACCTGTACTCGTCGCCGTAGCCGTTGGTTTGTTAGATGAAATTTTTTTGAAAATATTTACAAAACATTTTACGTATACAGATATTTAACAAATAGTTGAGCCGTCTATTGATCTACCGAAAGTTGACACACAAACAACATTCCACATACACAAGAAAAACACACACAAACAAATCACACATTCCACCCACAAACACACACACACACATCGGTACAAAGTGTGTGTTCATTTGAGAGCGAAGAGCGCTCTGCGAAAGCGGACAGCACTGCTTGGCAGACCGCTCTTCGGCAAAGCAGTTTCCCTGCAGTTGCGGCGTTCACTGCTTCGCGCACTGCTTTTTAAAAGCAGTCGCTGCACTGACGCCGAAAGTAAGGGAATATGAAGGAAACCCCTCCCCACCCACCCCCCACAATTCTTAACCCTTAAGCATATATTCGATGTCTATTAAGCGAAAACTAAACAAAAACAAAAATTACCAAAAAACCAAAAAACCAAAACAAAAAAAACACAAAAGAAAGGTTAAGAAAAAGCAAAAAAACTATTTAGATTTATAGATGATACACATATGTATGCAGCGGACAGCGGGCGTTAGGGTAGATAATTGATAATTTTATTGGTTTTACGTTATGCGGAGAACCATTTTGACCAAAGTTAATTGTTAACACGAATCCCTTGAGTGCGGCTTATTTTTAATCAATTCTTTTACTTTATTGCGCGCCTATTACAGCACGCCTCTTAATTTTTATGAATCACCTTAAACACAAACACACACACACACAACACACACAATCACACACACACACACACACACTAGTCTGTTATTTATGTACATAATTTATGAATTTAGTTAAGTTAAAGATTTAGTTTAATTTACTTTACATTTACATATTACTTGGCCTTGAGTTGCAACAAAACAAAATATACACGAAACACACGAAAAAATTAAATTACAAACATATATGGTTTTACTTTATTGTTATTTTCTCTATTGTATGGTTATATTATGGTCCCATTATATCCGCTGGCTGGCAGTGATTACGTCCTCGATCATGCACTCTCACACATCAGCAGCACAGCAGACTCAACATGGAGAGTGGGCGGGTTAAGAGGGATATGTTTGCTCTCTCCAAGTCCCATCAAATTGGGCTAGGGGTGAGCAAACCCAACTGTTGCCACACCAGCGGCAGCATCATCAATTACATCATCGAATCATCGAATGTTATTACACATCAACATACAGCAAATACCAAAAGCATATTCCTCAAAAGACGCAGGACGACGAAGCGAAAGTAACCTTTTCGGCCCCATATTTGCTACGAGGAGTTCATCCAGCCAGCCAGCAGTCAGCCCTGAAGCAGTTCTGAAGCCCTATCGCCCCCTGTTGCAAGTTTAGATTAGATGGGAACACCGCTATGAGGCAAGAGAGATAGAGAGAGAGAGAGAGAAACGAGCACCCAGCAAACCTTTCGGCCACACCAAGCATACGAAATTATTGAACAATAGATGAATTTTAGCTAAAACTAAATTGAAACGAATAAACAAGTTTTTAGGCTTAACCAGAGGAGTGTTCCACACCCCACCACATCGGTGAGGGGGGGGGGGAGCAGAGCGAAATTTGATTGCACTTTGGCGTAATTATGACAAAATTAGTCGAGTATAAGACGGAAGGTTCCTAGTCTGACGGAAGAGAGATTTCAAATTGGTTAGAATTGAAATTAAAATTGAAAATTGAAAATTCGAATTGAAATTTTGGATACTTACGAGTAGAATGAACAAACAAAAAATGCATTTGCGAAATTAGAGTTTAGGGAATCGTACAAAAACCAAAAGCAAAAACAAAAACAAAAAGCTAATCGAACTGCAGTTTAAGTTGAACCTATTGCATTTTACATTTATAATCCATTGAGAAATTGAGTTCCCTGATATGTATTATGAGTTGTCATGATTTTCTTATCCCATCTGAGCAGAGCAGAGCAGAGCAGAGCAGAAGTCGAAATTCTAGTCCGGATATCGTTGATTGTTAATGCCTTTACGAAATTTATTGGAGAAGCAACTTCTTTTTGGCAATGAAGTTGAAGTTTGATCTAAATCTAAATACAATTGTAACTGATTTTGTGATAAAATGAAAAAAAAACTAAATAAACATCTAACTAACTAACTAACAAACAAACAAAAATCGAAGTAACAGCAATTATGTTTCGGATAAAACCAATATGGAGAACCCACTCCATACGAAATTATTGATTGATTTTAAAAATAGTTAATTGAGAAAAAAGAGAACCCTTTAGGCAATTTAAGGCGTATTAACAATAAACGTTTGGCTAACCAAAAACTTTTAGGCAAAATTTTATAATTAAGCAAAATTCAAAAGCGAAAAAACGAAAACGTGAAATATCGAGAGCAACGTCGAAATTCAGAGAGAAAAAACAGTTTATTCAAATCAGAGTTAATGTTCTGTTAATGTTTCAGTTTGTATCAGTATCAGTTGAAGCCATCGCTTTCTTTCCTTTCCTTAACCAAGTGGATGGATCGTTGAATCGATCGTAGAAGCTAGGAATGATGAATGAACCGAAAATACATACGTACCACTCATACACACACTTGAACACTTGAACACATTGAATACATGCGTATATATAATGCAACATAAATACATATTTCATACATTTATACTAACATTAACATTAACAAAAACATACTTAAGCATAAGTCAAGTCAAGTCAAAACTAAAACAAAAAACAAAACAAAAAAAAAGAGACTCGTCTCTAACGATAATTGGTTAATAAAAGCGAAATTCATTGAGAAAACAGAAACCACATGACGGCGCTTGGATTTTTATTTAACAAAATTAACAAAACAAAAAAAACTCCCACAAATCCTTTGGCTATTTATGAAATCCCAAACACTTTTACGTTCAACTTCCCCCATCTGAGAGCAACCAAACTCCGTCAGAAGCTTTCGGCAATTGTCACAGATCAGATCAGATAAAAATTGGAATTGATTGGCAAGCACTACACAACACACATCACTAACCGTTAACCAACACTACTACAGCTACTGCAGCGAAAGCTGCAACAACTAATCGGTGGAGCGCTGAGACGAGAGCGAAGGGTAAGCAAAAGTCAACTACATTTTAATCACTTCCTGTTGAGCAGAGAACAAACCAAGACAAAAGCGAGTCTACTCCTGGCCCATTCACAGGCAGCAGCAGCAACAACTTTCAGGCCTCGCCCCCCTCATAGAGGCAGCCACCAAAAGTTCGGCCACATCTTTCGAGCAACCGAAAAACATAGTGTTTAGTTTCTACACAGCAATCTTTCGGTGTTGGTAAATTCCAAAAAGAAAATAAACAGAGTCCAGCCATAGCCCAAGAGCAAAGTTCGATTATAGTTTCCATTTGCTGCCCTGTGGAACGGTCAGGCCATGTACAGTTTACACCCGACCCAAAATCAAAGTCAAAGCACGGCATAGGCCAGGACTTAAGTTAGCCTAAGCATAGAATAATGTTACAGCCAGCCAGCAGGATCAACCAGGATACACACACCGACAGAGCCAAGCCGGAAGCGGAAGCATCTAGCACATCAACCCAAGCAATGATCAATGAAACGATTTCATTCACTGATCAAACGATAGACAGAGCGAGCAGAGCAAAGCACAGCAAACTAAACTTAAAGCATAATGAAAACTACGAAAAAACGAACCGAACATGATGGATAGACAGAAGACAGACAGAATGATGATCGAAGCAGCAGAAGCAGAAACAGAAACAGAAGATGGAAGCGAGAGATCGAAATGAATGATGATGGCGAGATAAGTATATACCTACTACACGTAAACCAATTACCAAATATAAATGCAGACGCAGCCATATGCAATTTTAATTAGATTTTAAAAGCATTAATACCGCAAAATACCAAGCAAACCCAAAACCAAAAAACTAAAAAACAAAATACCAACAATTACCGATTACTGATTACCGCATATACGAGAGAAAAACCGATACAGAGAATGATCATAATTGTACATAGCGACATTTAAATACAACTACATACACGTAACTAAAATATTACTACAGTTTAAGCATAAGCAGATCCCTCAGAGACCCAGCCCCGAACTCCATATCGAAGTTACTCAAAGGCCAGGGCCAGGCGAGGCTTCGACCATAGCTTTACAAGCATTCAAAATGCGCGCAGGCCGATTCTCAGGCAGTAAGATATAGCGGGAGAGATGTGCCAAACCACCCCCCCAAACAATCGGTATATATATCAAACAGAAATCCTCCCCAAATACACATACACACACTCCAGAAAACACAAGCCACTCACATATGTATGTAGTCAAGTGAAAATCAAAGCAAATCTATTCGTAACTTCAAACTTCCAGTATAAATAAGTTAATTAAACATCCTTATTTGAGAAAACATCTGATCACAAGCGAATGAATGAAACAACTAAAGCAAAAACAAACTATCGAAAGTCAAACGAAAATTTGCAGTTTTGGTATAAAAGAAGAAGAAAAACAAAAACAACAAAAAAACTAAACGAAAAAGAATAAATGATTGCGTTTTTTTAGTAGCAAACGCGATTCTCAAAATTCCCAATAACTTTTGGCCCAATAATCGAAAGAAAATCAAAATCCAAATGTTTGAAAGTAAAATTTTTATCACTTATTTCGCGTAGGAAGAATCACAAAGAGAGAAGAAAGAGAAGTAGACAGAGAGAGAGAGAGTGAGATGAAGAAAGTGACATTTTATGGCGTTGCAGTGTCCACCCTGCAGTGAGATCCGTTTAGGAAGTGGCACTTGTACCGCCATTTTTTGTTCCACAAACTGCAATAGAGCAGCGCACGGTGTCCATACACTTTCGGCCAGCACCGTGCGTCTGCACCCAACGGATTAAGTTCAACAAACAAAATTTATTAACAATATTATGTATTAAAAATACAAGAACAATCTTAACCATCCTCAGTTGAGAAGTTTATGAGAAGAAGAGGTTAAAACTTTTGGCTTATGACGTGTAACCCCAGCATTTCGGCAAAAGCAAACGGCAAGCGGAAGCTGCCATCGGAAATTCTAAATTACAAATTGATATATATACCACAACAACAACAAAAAGAATAACAACAACAACCACAAAAAAGCACATGAGAAAGTATAAAAATATAAAGTAAAAGTTGCATAAAACCCAAATAAAAGCCCATAACAGAAATAACAGAACAAATAAATAATAGAAATAACAGAAAGCAGATATCGGAGAAGATATCGAAGCAGAAGCAGGATTACAATTTAGTTTTAACAGCCAACAATAGCCAGGGAAACATACACAACTCGTATGTGATATTTTTGAGTTAATCTCTCACAGTTTTTCACAAGTTTAAAAAAGCAAAAAAAAACCCAAAAAAAAAGAAAAGAAAGAGAGTAACAGAGTAACAGAGTAACAGAAACAACCACAACAACAAGCCCAATTAGCAGCGACAATATACATAAAAATATTCGATAAAAGAGCAACAAACAACAACACAGAGCACTTCCAGCAGCAGCAGCCACTTTTTTTGGGTTGGTTGTCTTTACATATCAAAGATATCAAAGATATTGTAGCCGAATTGCTCTATATATACATATAGGGTGACAAATGGAAGGGATGCGATTGGAGAGAGAGTACAGATTTCTTTGTGTTGAGTCTTTAAGCCATCCTGAGTTCAAAGTTTACACTGAAGATTATAACCGAATATACATAACTGAATATTTACCCATGATCAAATACGAATATAACAAATATATACATATACACATAAAGCAATACAAATACCGATAACTAATCCATAAGTGTTTATAGTTGAATTTTGACGACAGACAGAGAGAGATAGACAGAAGACGAATCAGATTTTATGCCACAGTTTCATTTGCAATAGTCGAGAGCGTGCCACGCACGCAACCAGGATAATTTATAGTACAATACATGCAACCAGCAGACAAAACAACAAACAGAACAAAAAGAAACACAACAAACAAGCAAAGCAAGGCAACAAATAAACGAATAAACCAATAAGCAACCAATAACTTTTTATAAAACGATTTATATTTTTATACTCAAACCAAAGTGAAAACGAATACCAATCAAAACCGCCACAGCAACAACAATAGCCAATTAGCCAAATAAGCCAAAACTTTTAGTTCGTTCACAAGATACTTACGTTAACAATTAACAACAACAGCAACATTTAAGTTTTTATTTAAGCAACAGAAAACGAAAGAGCTCCGTAAACCGACCGCTGAAGCTGACAACTCGAGCCTTGAGCCCCCAGTCAAAAACCCATCCAGACAGCCCCCCGGAGAGATCCACGCATGCCACACAAGAAATTGCCAATAGTAAAAAATGCAACCAAGTTGCAAAAGAAAACCAAGAGAGAAAGAGTTAGATGGAGATTAAGATGAAGACGGAGGACCCAATGAAATGATGCCTGCCTGCTGAACTGAACCCAAAGGGAACCTACGCCTGAAGCCCACAAGAGGAGACACAATCAAAAAACATTCGCCAAATATCATGCAGGACTCTACGGGATCTGGATGGACAGCCGCCGCTTGGGGGCTATAGATAGATCCATCAGTCAGTCACTCTGTCAGTCGGAACGGAACGGAGCCTTTCACATAGGCAACAAGAATAAGTGATAAAAACCTTTTGTTTCACAATTCTCTTACGAGCAACTCAATCAATCGAAGAACAACATCTAAATGAGCCACAAAAGTTTGCGTGCGTTAAACTGGCTTCATCTCCGGCAACTGCTGCATGCAGCAACTGCGACAGCGTGGGGCATGCACCTGAAACTGACTGCTAAATGAACAAATGCAAAACTCCTTTGGTTTACTCCAACACACACATACAATGAAACAGATACCGATATAAACAGATGCAATAAACAAGAGAAAATTGACAAAGATTGGGGCGCCTTCCCAAGCAAACGGTGGCGCCCCAAAACAATAGCCCAGTAATATTATTATTATTTCTAATAGGGCGCATCTTTGTAATCCCCCGAGGATTAAAGATGCGCCACAAGAACCGTCGTCAACAGAAGTACAACCAAAATGAATCGCAACCCATTGGCACCACCAAGAATCAAGAATTAAGCAGAATCAGTTACAGTCCCTGCCACTGCCCCGCACCAACCACGAGAATGATGATGATGATGATGATGATGTTGCAGTTGCCGGAAAGGGGGCCAGACGTTTGTCCAAATTCTACACGAAATTTTATGTAAAACAGCTGTAGGAGCAAACGAAAAACGCAATTCCAACCAGCCACCGCCCCCGCCCGAACACGCGAAACAGCGGGTAACAATCGATTTTCAGTTTCAAGTTATTCCTTCTCGGCGATCGGTCCGGTTTCGATCGATCGCGTTCCTATGATTTATAGAGACGAAGAGAGAGAGAGAGAGAGAGAGAGAGCGAGAGAGACATGCTCCTGGGATCCGAACCCCCGCCCCAGAACAGAGGGATAGCAAAGGAGGCCTAGGGGCATGTGTAAGATATGTACTATAATAAAAGTAAACGAAAAAACGATAAGCAAACAAATGAAACAACAATATTTATACAGAGACTGCAAACAAATGTGATCAGATATTTTATAATATATAAGTTTACAGAGCAAGATACAGCAAGATACAGCATATAGCCAGAATCAGAAAACAGAAACAGAAACAGAAACAGAAAAACAGAATCAGAACCAGAAATCTAGTTATATAGCCGAACGATCAAATCAAAAGCAAAACAACAACAACAACAACAGCAACAACAACCACAGTAACAGTAAACCAGTACAGTTAGCATAGAACGTAACGAGTAACGAGTAAAGCAGTAACGAGAGCAGCAAGATCGTGAGCAAGGACTCGCAACGAGTCGAATAGTAACACGTAAGAAACAAAACAAAAACCTATTTATAATAATATTTTTTACAATAGAATATACAACTAAATATAGCAAAACGACAAACAAACCGAGCGGGAGGCGCACAGCAGAGAATACCCCAAATACCTACATCCAGTTCCTTGTCCCCGAATCGTATAATCATATCCCGAAACCCTCGAGCCAGATGCTGACGTGCTGTCGCCTCTACGCGCAACAGTTGCCTTTCACAGAAACAATTTACCATTTAAGTTACCAATAGTGAAATAGACAAGCCAGAACGGTGCCACGCAGTTGCAGTGGCGCCGCCGTTTTCCCAGCCAGTTTTTAGTTGAGCAACTTTTCGGTTCATTTCGAGTACTACAGAGCAGAGTGCAGAATGCAGTGCAGAGGTTTATCATTTCAATGTTCATACAAAGGTTATATTTAGTTCAAGGAGAAGAAACAGAAGCAGTCATCAGTCGAGCAGAGAACTAACCAATAAATAATGAATACACACACACACACACACAACCAAACACACTCACAGATATACTAAAATGTTTGTTACATAGTTTTGATTTAAATCCGTTGAGTGAGTCAAGTTTTTCAGTTGGATCAACAAAGTTAGGAGCCATTATTGTCATGAGTTGAAGTCACATTCAAGAATTATGCAAAATTAAGCAAAACCCTTGAGTTCTGAACAACAATAGTGCCGGTAATATTTATAAGATAAGTGAAACCATATATATACATATATGTATGTATGTATATGCGTAGAAATATATATATAACAAATACATACTCTAGACGTCGTAATCCGTATTTCAGCATAGCTAAAAAATGTTCTAAATGTACACTGAATACAACCCCCAATAAAAACAAAGCAACAAAATGAAATGGTAAGAAAGAGAGAGAGAATCGCCTGCGTAGTGTTTTCCATGCCAAGAAGACTGCCTGGCCTTGAAGTGAGAGTAACTATACCCCAGACCTCGCCCCCGACCCTGCCCCAAGCACACGAGCCACACTCTCATGCAACAACACCTTACGATCCACACACACACACACACACACACACACACAACCTTATAAATATATATAACTTATTACTTACATAAGGGAATAACTCGAAGCAAAAGAAAAGCAAAACCAAATAATAATAAAATACAAAATACAAGATAATGGTAGTTGCTATTTTAAATATTTAAACAAAACCCATAAGAGAAAAAACCACAAAAAAATCAAACAAAACAAATACAAAGGAGCAGAAGAAACAGAAACAGAAAATCAATCGAAATAAAAAAAAGAATCTTTAAGCAACAGCAAACGTCTCTAAAACTAAAACATTAAGCAGGAACCAAAAAGCCAACCTAAAAGCAGCAAACAAAGCAGAAAAACATCAGTCAGACATAGCCACATACATACATACATACATACATACATACATAATATGTATGTACTACATGTCGATGCAGTATATATGCAGTTTGTTCCAAACCAAAATCATAACGGAAAATATATACATATGATATTTGTATGCTTTTTTACTCACACCATATAAGCCGAATGGAAATGGAAGAAGTGGAAATTGGAAATTGGGATAAGCAACAGAAAATAGTTGGAGATCCTCCAGCGCCGCCTTTAGGTTTAATTTACGCACTCAGACAGACACACACAGATTTACACAAATACAAAAATGTCAGCATAAGTATGAAGAAAACTAACCGTAAAAAACAAAGAAGCAATTACAAAAATTTATAATCATAGTTTAGCAGCAGCCGCCGTAATTGATTTTGTCAGCCACACGAAGGAGAAGAAAAATCAAACCGCAGACCGAACTAAAACCAACTAAGCTAGATACAAACATACAAATACGCAGAAAAGATACATTACATAGAACTCATCAGCCGCCAGCAACTTACAAGAGATGCAGAAATACAGTACTCAATGCCGTTCAATCAACAACCAAGCAAACAACCAAACAACCAAGCAGCCAAGCAACCAAGCAACCAAACAACACCAGATGGAAGATCAGTTCACAGATGCATCAATCAGCTTACTTATAGTTTTCAAGATACACAGAGTTCAGTTCAAGAGAAAGATATATTAAGGATACATACATACACACCTCTAAGCATATATTGATAACCAACCTCCAACCCCCAAAACCCTCAAGTCAATATACAACTTCAGATCAGAATCAGAATCAGAAACAGAAAACAAAATCAAAAAAAATCAGAGTAGGATTAGAGGAGGAGACTCCGTTCTTCGGAGACAGACATTTCGGTTAGCAGAGCAGATGGCTCGAGTCGTAGGGCATTTCGAAGAACGTTTGAATATTTCGGCTTAGATATTCCTGATTATAAACATATGGGAAAATCAGAACTTTCGGCTCAAAAGCAACGCGCTGCATTTTGAAAACTCAAAACAAACAAAAAACACACTTGCAAAATGTGCAAAGAAGAAAACAAATCAAGAAAACAACCAACTCTCGGCCTAGACTTTGGCGTGAATTTCGGAAAAAAAACAACCAAAGGGAAAAAGAAAAAACACACAAACACACAGACGGACAAAAAATATATGAAAATTCGGGAAAAAGTTTAAAATGAAGAAAAGCATATAGAAAACCAAATGTGACCAAACGACGCGCTGCAAGTGGCCCTTGATGGCGCTTCCCATCGTCCCGAATCGAATCGAGTTTCGCAGACCCCAAAAAAAGAAACCAGTTTAGGTATAAGTGTAAAAATTAAATGTAAAAGTATTTCGGTAATGTTCCTATATAAACATAACACACACACTGGACACACACAAACTGACACTCACACCCACAAACAGGCGCATACGAGTACATACATATGTACGCACAGATATGGCTAAAGACTGTACATATGTATAAGGGGAAATTGAAGTTTCGGACACACACAAAGCAAATTCAGCATTTAGCATTTTGGCAAAACTAAAAAGTAACCAAATTAGAGATGAGGAAATAGGAGGAAAAATGGGAAAGAAAAAAAACTGGTCTGCAGGCTCGATTCAAGAGGAAGACGGAGCGTTAGACGGACCACTTGCAAAAAATAATACAAGAAATAATAATAATAGGAAAAGAGAAATGAAAAATTAACTTCATTTACAGGCAGCATTCTACTATGAGAACAATTGCAGATTTCTTTCGATTCGATTTGATTTCCTTGTTTCCCATTGAGGAAAAGAAGATAATTGTACTTTTTAGTGAAACACAACACAACGCGTTTGAAAACCCCAGGAAAAAGGAATAGGACAACAAAGAAAAGAAAAGAAAAGAAAAACCAAAAAAAAATCAATGAAGTACTTCAACAAATCACGAAATGAACAAAATTGAAAATCTCTCGGCCATGTTTGGATAATTAACTCTCGGTGTAAACGTTCAGGACAAATTTACAAAAAAAAAAAACAAAACCCAAAAACAAAAAACTAAAACTTTAGAGAAAAAAATAAACTTTAGGATTAAAAGCGGAAAAAATGGAAAAATTACGAATTCAAAATCCAAAAATTATAAGCAAAATCACTAAATTTTGGAACAAAACAATTTCGTATGTAAGAACTTAAATTGTAAGAGGAAGGAAGGATAGAGAAAAAGCAGTGCACTTCCGCTCTGCCCTCGGAACGAGGAAGTAGATGAGAGAGCAGTACGGAAGAGCATGAGACGAAGTGCAGAGCATCAGAGCAGAGCTGAGCACTGCTGAGGAAGCAGTGCAAGCAGTAGAAGACCAGAACGGGGAATGGCAAAACTTTGAAAGAAATTTTGAAAACGTGTTGGAAAAATATCAGAAAAAGTACAAGCTTATTTTAAGCACCTTCGCGCCTTATCTTTAAGAACGTAAATAAATCAATGAAAAATACGATAAATGAAACAAAAATTAAAAACGTGAAAAGAAAAAAAACCTAAAAACATAACCTTAAATTTAAATAAATTTAATACGAAAGAAAACATTGTACATTTAGAAAATACGAGCAAAATTAAGCGGGAAATTGCAACTTTCGATACATCTCCTGGTAGTTAACCTTATCTAACCTTAAGTTTCATCCGCACTGATCTGATCCGATCCGAACACACTCTGACTCGGATCAGACTCTGGCCCGGATCCTGCAGAAAGCAAGTTTTGTTTCCCTCAGTTCGGGTTTTGTGAAATATCTGCCTTTTATTGTAAAGCTCAAACAGCAGCGAGGGCAGAAACAGAAGTAGAATTAGACAAAACTAACGAGACAAGTCAACAAAGTAAACAAAAAAGAAACTCCAGCGGAGTGTCCAGTGTATGGGCGAGGCTCCTGCTGAAAATTGAAACCCAACAAGCAACAAAAAACCAAGCAAAATTCAAAATCATTGCAGCAGCAGATTTCAAAATTACCTAAGAAGCGAAGCAAACGAAATGAACAAAATTCTCAACTGCGGTTCGGAACAGAGAACCAGCAGAAATAAAAGCAGAAGCAAAGGTTTTCTAGAAAAGTAAGGAAAACTTTACGTATATCATTATGTTCCCCCAAAAACTCTGTAAATGTTTAGATATATGAAAATCCAAAAAGAATAAAGAAATGAGGTCACTATTTAAGTTAGGTGTTGGTGTGGCTACGACCGACTTTGAAATAAGATGTGTATGTAAAAAAACAAACTTACTATAAAAGGAATTCGATGGATCCTACCCCTTAATCCAATGTTAAGTTCTTAAAATTGCTATGTATCCACCACTATCAGTATATAGAACATACGATATACATATGTGTAGCCCTGAATCCCTTCCTTGAGTTTTGGTGACCATCTTCTAGGTGATCCTCAGTGCAGCATAAAAAACCCAGCGAATGTGTGCGTGGCCAGAGCGTGGACAGTTCTCAAGCCTAGAAAATAAAACCAATTGGCCGGCCAGGCAGGGCCAGAAGATCGGCTCAGGGCTGGCCGGGCACCTCCAGGACATCCAGAACCGTTTCGCACCATAGAACTCAAGGCAATACAAGCAATCCAGAGGTACGAGAGAGAATAAAAGGAAGAAGCAACAGCAGAAGCAGAAACAGAAGAAACAGAAGCAGAAGCAGCTGCATGAAAGCAAGGCAAAGGACAAGTTTCGAATCAGAATTTCGGTGACATCTTTCGGCACAGTTTCGACAACTTTCGATTAGGCTTTTGTTGTTAATTTGTTTTTTTGCGACCACGTCTCCACGTCTCCATAGCACACGAGCAACATGCAGCCAGCGGCATGCCACACACAGAAGCAAAAACAGTAGCAAACAGAAGCAGCAACCAGCCACGTGATAAACGAGTTGAGCAAAGTGAAAAGCAATTTTGAAATGGGGCCACAACGTCCGATCTAAAGTGCCTTCAAGTAACAATGAAAAACAAAAACGAAACCAAAAGGAAAAAGAAAACAAAAATACCAAAAAACTAAAAATAAAAAAAACTGTTAATTTTTTATGTAACTAAAGCAGCAGCGCGTAGGGGGGAAATTATAAATAAAAATTGTATAAAGAAATTAAGCGTGTAAAAAGTATAAAAAAATTTAAAGAACTAAGCGACGACGAATCGAAGTAGAAAATCGATGAGACGCGAAAGCGACAGCAAAAAGGGCTCCAAATAGACCGGAAAGCAAAACAAATACCAAAAACTGCCTCCACACTCTGGCCAGGACTCACACAAGCCGCAGAAGCCTAGGGGCAAATCACTCACCAGGAGATGTCACCACAGATCCCATCCCCAACTCATTCCACGATCCTTCTTTCCCTAGCTAAAGTTGTAATTGACTACCTAAGTAAGCGATAAATATGTGTATGTATTTAGTTATAGTATGTAAAACGAATGGAAATTAACATAAAACACACTCACACGATTTATGTATGAAGAAATTAATGATTTAGAGAAGAAGAAAACAACATAGTGTGGAACGGCAACAAAGGTTTGGACTTATGAGAAAGTATATATGAATGCATACATATACCCCCATATGTATCCCCCCCTTTTAGCGTACATACGCATACTATAGCGCTGAGTTGCTCATTTAACACCACACACGACACACACACACATCACTCACACACACGAAACGAAGCCTGCAAGTATGCTACATTTAATTTAGATATAGAGAGAGCGAAGCATAAGTGCATATTCCATTCCAGTCAAAAAGAGTACAGAGTAAAGATGATTGCAAAAACTGAACTAAGAACGTGGATGAGTACGAGAACGGCATACTGAAGTGGCGGCAATTAGGTATTAGAGCGAGGACTACATTTAAGCATAAATTCAGATGCATTGCGATATGCATAAGTGTGCGTGCTGGCACACACAGATACAGATACACAGAGATACACAGCGACAGCGTGTGTCTAAACTATAAGACTTTCTGGAATCGGAGGAGGAGAAAAGGTAACCTCTACCTACGTTTCCTTCTGTCGTGCTCTTTCCTACCACCCCTAACACACACACACACACACACACACACACACACGCACACACCAACACATAAATACAGATCTTTGAGCAAAAACGTCGCAAAATCCGTTTCTTTAGTCGATGATGGGAAAGCACTAGTAAAAATTAGCAAAATTTAAAATTTAAAATGACACCCACGGGTGATCAATTATGTAACACACAGACACCTACACACACACACCACATAAACACACAACATTATGTATATATAAGTATGTAAATTCCTTTGAGCTGAAACATTGCATAACCAAAAGATTGCGATTACAAAGACACACACACAAACACACGAAAAAACCGAAAAGAACACAGAACAGACAGAGAGACAAAGACACATCCTGTAGATGTGTGTAAAAGGGTTTGGTTCTTTGCTTACAAACTTTTCAAACGCATTAAACCGTTTCGGCCAACCTTTAGGATTGATACTAAAGATCGAGTTGTGGAACATCATCGCCCCCCCTAGGGGGCTGCATCATTTCGGTTGATGGATGCAAAACGTTCAAACGTTCAAAATTACAACACAAATCAAAAAATCCGAAAACCAAATCGAGCCTAGAAATTGATTTAAGTTCCATTAAGCAAAACAAAGAGAAATATATAAAAATGAAAACTTTTGAGTTACAATACAACAATAGACCGGAATGATTTCCAAGCAATAGTACAAACAACTTAAGAGATAACTTTTATAATGTAATTGTAAACTAAGTGAAAGAGGAGTGGAAGAGGCTCTGCTACAAGGTGTTTCCAAGGGGCAAGAAAGCCAAAATAAACCCAATCCCCACCTAGGAAACACCCGGAGTGAGAGACGAATGTAAGATGAAATGGATGTGAAGATAATCCCTCGAATACGCATATACGATTTCCCTGAGTTTGCCCCTAAGTTGAGATTTAACACACATTTAGTTGAACTTTGATGAGTGCGATGAGTAAGCGAAATTGATGGGCCAGGAACAGAGCCACGGAAAAAGAGCCTAGCCTATAGCCTGGTGCCAAGGATATTTCCGGAATTCCAACTTGAAACGTGAATGTGTGGCTCCCCTGCGAGGGAGAGATGCATTGAAATTCAACTCACTTCACAAACACACACGCACACACAGTTTAAATTTATAATTCTATGTAATAACAATAGGAGACGCACACACATACACTACCACCCCGAATCCCCCCATTCCCCCGTGAATCTCAAACTTTACTACTTACCACAAAATATTGAAATGAAAACCAAAGGTAAAAGCAAAAGCAAAAGCATACATACTCGTATGAGAGAACGTTTCGCAAAAACGACACTTATGTCGCGTGTATACACAAACGATAGTACGATATACTAACTTTATATGATTAACTAACTCATTTCGAATGAACCATAGCGATAAATGTGTATGTGTAAGCTACGTTTTGGTTACGGTTTCGATTTCCGTTCCGTTCTACTAGTATCCTATACTTTGGTTTGGTGTACCACCCACACAATTCCCTTTTGGAAACTTCAAAAAACACATTCTGGCCCCAAAATGATGAGATTCAATGAAATTTCAAACAACAGAGAAATCGCACAAAACATCGCACATTTCGCGCAAAAAAAAAAACAAAACCACAACACACCACTCCACACAACACACCACAACACACCACGACACACGCCACGCAGAAAGCATGATATGAAATGAAATGAAATATACATACATATGATAAAAACCGAAAATGTGTAAGAGTAAATTCAGTATTTGGGACACGGACATCGTAAGCGAATATAATTAAATAAAAATTTATATTGCGATCGAAACAAAATCGAAAAATACTAAAACTTGTATGACGGGAAAAGGAGAAAAATGAACAAAAACACTAAACTACAATATGACATTTTTAATCGAAAAAAACAAAACTTATTTTATTGAAAATTATGTAAAATTTACTAAGGAAAAAAAACACAAAAAAAACCAACAACAACACACAATAAAAGTATATTATATTGTTTATTTTCATCTTTAAAAATAAAGTTTTAAAATCGTATAAAAATAGTAATTGCTGAACCGGAGTTGTCATTTATTGGGAAGGGAAGAAAAATACGGCTAATGATATAAACGACGATTCAGGGCCAACAAAATCTAGCATAAATCACCTAAAGCCAAGCATAAATTAAACTTTTTGAAATATGCGCATACAGAGAAAATATGGGAACGATAACATTACAGGAGCCAGAAATATTCAGTATCCTTCTCTCGATATTCTGCGCTTTTGCACTCATCCGCCCTCTATTGTCAGGAAGCAGAACTAAGAGTCGCTGGTCTGGCAGCGCCAATTTCTCATTTCGATAGTTTTTGTATCGACTCTTTAACGGTTCGCCAGCAACAAATTGTCAAATGACGTAAGATTCCATTGCCAGCAACTTAATTATAATGCCATTGTTTTGGTTGACCTCTCCAGAAAAGTCATGAAAATCAGCTAATAGTGTGGAGAATTAAATGATGATTCGAATAAAATTACAGTTTTAAAGCTGAGAGTCTTAACTAGCTGGTATTACCAGCGAGAAGATCAAAGTCGAGGAAAATTATTTTAGATTTACGGTATATTTACAGTATGTTTTCGAGGATCTGTAGGTATATTTATCGATAATTCCGCGGTTGCACTGTTGCGCATCTCTAATTTACACATTACGCAAAGCATTAAATGGTTGTTTATTAAAAATGTCGCTGCTCAACGCCTTTGCCAGGTGAGTGAAGATTCTGCAGCCCAACCATTGACTGACCCTACTTTCTGTCATAGATTAGGATTACAGAGAGGCGGAGTAGCCAGCTCCGCAGTGGCACGTTGCCTGCACACCACACCTGTGCTCTGTGCCGAACCGCTTAAGAAAAAGAAGAAGCTGGACCCACATGTTATCAAACAGAGGGAGGACCGCAGAAAAAAAAAGATTGAGAAGCAGATTCGTCGGCTGGAGAAGAATGCGCGTCAGCTGAAACCGGTGGAGGAGCTGGAGGTGCCACTGGAGCTTATCGACGAAAAGGAGTAAGGATGTCCCGTTGATTGGAATCTGCCAATTGGTGCTACAACTTGTTCCCCATCCTTTGCAGCAAGCGGCAGCGAAAACTGACGACACTGGGCAGCGCGGAAATGGAGGAGCGCGCCCTGCTAAAGAAAGAATGGGCCCGCTACAAGCACGACGAGAGAGTGGCCGACTTCCAAATCATTGACCGCCTGGTGCAGTCGCAGAACAAGGCGCTGGAAGAGTTACGCCGCGAGTCCGAGGACCTGTACCAGGCAGCCATCGAAGTCGACCTACAGCTGCTGCCCGTAACGCTGAAGGGCCCCGTCTCCACCCCACCCATCAAGAACTACGCGAGTCCCGATGGCGACTACATACACCAGTCCATGAAGTGGGAATGAGTCCCGCAGCTGTTAGGGACTGTGTGCATGTTAGGGTGTTAGGTCAAAGATTATTGTTGTTGCTTACATCAGAAATACAAAGAATAGTTAATTAATCACCCATTACCCAGCATTTCTTAATCTTCTCTCGGAGTCAGCACTTTTCACACACGGCGCACGGCGCTTGTTTACCTTCTATCGGGGCTTTCCGGCAGTGGCAATTCCCGGATTCTGTTTCGCTGTCGGTCATGTCAGAGTTGATTTGGTTCTATCTTCTGCCCCACTAAGGCATGTAAGTAGGGGAGCCCCACCAAAAAAAGGAGATTTTATAACAGAAGGAAATTTGGGCAGGTGTTCTCCCTGCAGCGAACAAAGTACTGCCACAAGGCCAAATTGCTCGTCCTCCCTTGGCATCCGCTGCGGGAACAGCACTAGTTACCTACAGCTGCGAGTTCTGCACGCGGGACAATGCAGAGGACCAATGCCAGCCGGGACTCACGTGCAGCTGCCACAAGAGCAAGGGCTGCACCAGCTCGGGCATCTGCCTGCTGGATCTCTGTCCCTACGGGATGCATTGAGCAACACACACATTATCGGTTGTTAGTGTCTGGATA